CTTAAGCTAATTCTACTTACTATATAGTTTTACTATACTCTATTAGTAATAAAGTCTATATAAGTATAACTAACTAGTAAACTAAGTAGCGTTCTAAGAAACTTACATATTAATAGGCTAGCTTTTATATAGTTATCTATATTATCTATAAAGAGCGTGCGTATAAATTAAAACTTTCTAATAAGATACTTTAAAATAGTATATTTCTAGTCTTCTACCTCTAACTACTACGCTTATTAGCTACTAAGGCTCTTTCTAATTAAGCTTACGCTTAACTAGTTAGCGTAGAAGTAGTAGATAGTACTAGTAAGTATTATAAAGAGTAGCTTATAGATTTATTTAAGAATATAGCTCTACTAGAAGTAAATAAAATCTAGAGAGAGTAGGCTTACTTTATTAAGTAGACTAATTTCTTTAAAGCCTTCTAGTACGTAGCTAGTAACTATCTTAGTTACTATAATACTAAACTTTTCTACTAGAAATTCTCTAATAAGCCTAAACCTTCTAGCCTTAATATACCTCTAGACTAGACCTTTCTACCTAAAGATATTAGTAATTAGAAGCTTAATTACGCTAGTAGTAATAAGATTTTAGCGTAAAAGCCTCTAAAGAGGCCTATATACGCAAGAGATAAAAGCTACTTTTATATCTACTATCTAAACTCTACACTATTAATATATACTATACCTAATTATTAAACAGCGCTATAGTTAACTATTAATTACTTAGTATCTCTACTCTACTATCTTAAGTCTTCTAGAATATAGTTTTAATTAAGATACTATTTCTTATAAAGTGTAAAAACGTTATTTAGCTTAAATTTTACGTTCTAGAGTTAGAGTAGTAGAAAATACCTTAGAGGTGCGCTTTTTTATATAAGAAACTATATAGATATACATACGCTTATATAAACTATAAGCTATATCTAAGAATTTTTAATATAGTTAAAATTTTAACTTTTTTCTTTATTTTTTCTTTTCTTTTCTTTTACTATTAGTAGATCTAGCTAGAGAACTAGCTATAGCCTTTTTAAAGAGAGAGATATATATAAGAATATAGCCTCTATAAACCTTATAGATTTACTTAGAGCTATCTTCTTACTTTAACTTTAAATATCTTTATCTCTAAAGCTACTAGACTTTACTAAAGCTACTAGACTCTACTAAAGCTACTAGACTCTGCTAAAGCTACTAGACTCTTTAAAAGAGATATTTACTACTATAAGCTAGTACTATCTAGTACTAGCTTCTACTAGCTTTCTCTCTCTCTTTCTATATAGATCTAGCTAAACTCTTTCTCTCTTAGATTCTACGTCTACTATTCTTAACTCTAAATATAAGCTATCTTCTAACTAGCCTACCTCTCTACGTGTAAAGTCTACCTTACATTTATTAAGTTACTACTATTATAATATAATACTAAAGTTACTATACTATATTAGTTTATACTTACTATATATAGTAGAACTTTTCTTTATATATATACGCTTCTATATATAATATTAACTTATAGTTACTAATAACTTACTATCTATAAATAACTATCTCTAAAATAATCTAAATAATATAAGTATATACGTATAATAGTAGTATATATAATATACGTAATTAAGACTATAATTAGTATATATATAATATATAAATAGAATATAGTAATAGAATAGAATAGGTAGATAAGGTATATAATATATTTAGCTTATTATTACTTTCGCGAAATAGATATATTATTATATAATAGTTTTTTTATTTTCTTTATTCTTTAGATAAAAATAGTTTAAGTATTAGAACTTACTTTCTTTTTAGAAGAAAGTAGTATTATAGATTAAACTTATAATCTCTACTTACTAAAGTACTAGTAAAGAGCCTATATACTAAACTTTAAAGTTTAGTTTATATAGCTTTCTTTAACCTATACGTAATATCTTACTTAGTACTCTACTTAATATAATTATTTTATCTATTAATATCTCTTATATATTAAGCTTAAAGAATATATTATAGTTTTTCTAGTTTTAAAGTAGAAGTTCTTTTTAAATATTAGAAATAAAAGTACTTATAAAGTTTATATAGCGTTACTTTTTTAGATAGTTACTTAGTTTACTCTAAAGTATATTAAGATAGACTAAAAAAGAGTTAGAATTCTAATCTAGCTTCTATTTAGCTTATTTAAGTCTATTATAAACTATAAAGTATTATAATAACTTAGAACTAAGTATATTAAGTATAACTATCTTAAGTTTTTTCTAAGTAAATATTTAAGATACCTTAAGTTTTATATAGTTCTAGAAGTAGATATTCTAAGTAAAGTAAGTAGTTTTATTAAGAAATTTTATAGTAAAGTTTACTTTTTAAGTACTTAAAAAAAAAGTAAAAAGTACTTATTTAAAGATAGTTTTATAATTATATACTTAGTAGTTATACTATAAGTAGTTATATATAGTAAATATCTTTAGATTCTTAGAGTATAAAGCTTCTAAGTTTAACTAGAACTTACTTTTTAAAGTTAAAGTATAGTAAGTAATATCTTTTTTAAGAGCTAAGTAGTTACTTATAAGTATTTTATACTTTAATTCTCTAAAATAAACTATATCTTAATAAGTATACTTTAATTATTTCTACTTATATAATATTTTAAGTTTATAAATTAAAATAGTTTATTTATTTTTATTTTTAGTAGTAGTAGCTTATAAAAGCTTAGTTAGCTTTAGAATAGACTTTAATAGTATATTACTATTTTAAATAATTAAAGCTAAGTTAGTAATACTTAAAAAAGCTTCTAATAGATTTATAAGTTTCTTAGTAAGTAGTATTACTACTTCTAGAAATATAAAAGCTAATTTCTTTTAGTTATTATCTATTACGTATAAAAATAGTATAGCTTACTTACTACTATATTATATTACGCTAAAAAAATTTACTTTAGAGCTTATTATATCTAAATAGTATATATAAGAGTATTATAGAGTAGAGTAATTTAAATATTAAATAATAAAGTTAGTTAAATACTAGATATTTAATATTAAACTATAATTAAATATATTATTTTAAATAGACTATTAATAAATTACTACTAAGCTATAATAGCGATTCTAAGGTATTTATAGCTAGTGCTAAGTTAGCCTAGACTTTTTAGAGCTAGAATCTAATATTTAGATTTATTTAAAAGCTTCTATTCTTTTAATAGATATCTTAGAACTATACTTTACTACTATATATTAGATAGACCTATCTTACGTACCTTATCTACGCGCTTACGTGCATTAGGTAATACTATGCAACTGTCTTATTCCCGGAGACGCTAAAGGTTAACAGGCTTACGAAAACCAACTCGTTCTGCACGTCCCAGATTTCTATTCACTAGCATCCCCCACGGTATTAAACGTCTTTCTTCGCCCGTAGTTAGTCTTTATCGCGATTACCCTGCACAAATGGCCAGTCAACGCGTCGACGCGAAGGAGGTTGCAGACTTGAACACTGTCATGGGTCGCAACCTTCAGACATGGCCTGGCGCGCGCGACATTGGGATACAAGAAGCCACCCTGAATGCTGAAGCTCGCCATCAAGATGCACAGCACACACACGACAAGCCAAGCCAGCCTGCTCTCGCCCGCGTACTTTCGCGTCGATCGGCAGCTTCATTCGACCCAGGCCCCGCTCCCGATGGTGGCCTCACAGCTTGGACCCAAGTCCTATGCACGCACCTAACTATCCTGACCACCTTTGGCTTCTTCACGTCATTCGGCGTGTATCAGACCTACTACGAAAACACACTCGGCATAGCTTCCTCGACCATTTCCTGGATTGGATCGCTTCAGGTATTCCTTCTCTTCTTCCTTGGCACTTTTACAGGCCGTGCTACGGACGCTGGACTTTTTCGCCCGGTCTACATCGCTGGTGCGTGCTTTCAGCTACTCGGTATCTTTACCTTAGCGGAGAGCAAAAGTGTTTGGCATGTCTTTCTCTCTCAGGGCGTATGTCTGGGAATTGCAAATGGGTTGCAATTCTGTCCGTCCATGGCCCTTGTCTCCACTTACTTTGTCAAGCGTCGTGCTTTTGCGCTGGGCTTCACAGCGCTGGGGTCCTGCACTGGGGGCGTCATTTTCCCGGTTATCGTGCAGCAATGTCTACCCAGCTTAGGCTTTCCATGGACGATACGCATCATCGGCTTTATCATGTTGCTCATGAATGCCATCACCATCGGCTTGTACCGTACCCGGCTCCCTCCCAGGAAAAGCGGTCCATTGGTCGACTGGGCGAGCTTCACAGAACTGCCATATGCTCTGTACTGTGCTGGTGCCTTTTTCAGTTTCTGGGGGTTGTATTTCGCTTTCTTCTACATTGGAAGTTATGCGCGAAATGTTCTCGGTGCCAGTTACCAGCAAAGTATCAATCTGCTTCTCGTGCAAGTATGCATGGGGTTTATCTTTCGCCTACTGCCGACCTACTATGCCGACAAGGTTGGTGGGCTTAATGTTCTTATACCGTTCGCGTTTGTCTGTGGTATCATGATGTTCGTATGGATTAGAATCAACTCCATCGTCACCCTGTACATATTTGCTGTCATATATGGAAGCGGGAGCGCCGTTATCCAGGCGCTTTGGCCTGCGGTAATCGGAAGTATGAGTCAGGAGAGAGATCTGAAGAAGTCTGGGGTGAGGATGGGCATGGCCTTCACCGTGGTGAGTATATCGAGTTTTACAGGTCCGCCACTAGCTGGAGCGATTATCCAGAGTCACAATGGCAACTACACGTATGCGAATGTTTGGGCGGGTCTGTCTTTCTTTGTAGGAGGGTTTCTTTTACTTGCTACTAGGGTGTCGCTGGTAGGCTGGGACTGGAAGGCAAAAGTCTAGAGGTAGCTTGCATTGAGCGTTCCTTGGCCTACCTTTCGTGCGTTGCCGCGATGTGTTCAGGATGACTAGGATTGGGGGGGTACAAGGGAACATGTTCCGTGCGATCTATGGGAAGATCATGACTTGCGACGTTCTTGCACTATCCTTCCTATTTATCCTTGAGCGTAGTGACCCTTGCTAATAGGCCGGGGTCTTCTCTCTCTTTGTCCATCTTGGCATGCCAATCCGCCTCGGCCTTGGCTGCATTTTTGCGAACCCGCGCAGTGTTCCACTTCATATAATAACAGCAAAGCGGGAAGAAGATTGAGTCTACCACAGCCCAGGCAGATAAGATTCCAAAGTTCAAGCCAACTCGTGGATGCAGATCGAACAGGATTGACCGTGTGAGCTCGACGATATTGTGCATCGGCCAACCATAGCCCCAGCGATAAAAGCTCGGTGCAAGCTCGAGGGCATAAAACCCAGTGGCGACATTGCTGATGACCCAGAAAATGAGCCACAACGCCGTCCAAGGGGAGCCCAGCAGCATGGCCATATTCTCGCTCGCAAGGCCAAAAGCAATCATTCCGATCCAATTGCCCATCCAGTATACCAAGAAGTTACCTCTGCCATACGCGTTAGGGTTACCGGCAGGCTGATTGTGGGAGGCAGTAGGACGGTCCATGGGCATAAGGTAGGCGAGGCTGACAAAGGAGTAGACGAGAGAGAGAAAGAAGTAAGATGCGACCGTCGCGATGTAGCGCCACACGATAAGCTGATAGAAGTGCAGCGGTGGATGACCTTTGGGCGAGAGGTACTTCAGATGGATAGGTAGGAAGAACGTAAAGCTAAAGAAGGAGATGATGACTAGATAGCGGTGTAAGATATTAGTATATGTCACATGCGGTTCGTACAGGAACATTGCTCACTCAGGTATATAAGGCCAATGCTAACCGCGGGTGTAGCAATAGGCGGTCCAAAGGGGCGCAAGTCGTTGACGGTGAACTCAATGCCGGGAGAGAGAGCTTGGGGTGCGATGTCTAGGCGCATGTCCGTAACTGAAACGTTGTTCTGGAGAAGATGTGCGATCCACGCGCGGCCAAATTCGGTGACTACGCGCTTCTGGAGGGTGTTAATACTGGGTACAATGTAAGTCGAGGTGGTAATTTGATCGCGCGCCGAATTATAGATGATCTGGCAGGCACCCAAGGGATCGTAGCTCGCGTTCCCCAGTTTCACTGCGGCATCGAGCATTGCTGTGGCGTTGGAATTGATGATGACGGCCGCCCAGGCATGGAAGTCGTAAACTTCGTTGCGTACGTTCAGCGAGTTGTTGTTGAAGTCTTCGGGAGACGCAAAGGTGTAGCCAGGCACCACTCCATCTTCCTCCATAATGCTGCGAACAGTGCGAGTGACAAACGGACCCACGAAGGGTGCGACCCCGGTAAACGGTGGCTGGCCATCGAAGTCTACAACGGAGATGTTCAGACCCCCCACGTTTGCATTTTGACGAAACAGTGCACCCCAGAAAAGGCAAAGAAAGGCCATGATGGCAATGGCGAGAATGAGATTTGTACGAAGCCAGAGCCTGATCACGTGTAGCCTGACACCGGCCATGGACGAGTGAAAGAACCCGACAGGCGCCTGTTCTTGCACGATCCTGCGGCTACTCTTTGTGCGGCCACGCTGCAGCGTTGTTAGCCTATTGGGAGCGGCGGTGGTGCCATGCACTGTCTCAGTCTTGACACCCGTGGTCTGCTGCTCCAGAGGAGTAGAGCTGGCGGCGGCGGAAGCTTGTATTCCCAGCTCGGACTCGCTAGATGAGCTGAAATCGTATTCGTGATGATATCGTGGGGCGATCTGACATCCAAGTGTGGAATGAGACATGTTGGGCGCTATGATTGATTACCTACTGGACATTTTCACTGCTTATATTTCCTGAGGCCCTGACACTTAGTGCTTGCTGTGGGTTGCTGACGGATGTACGCTAAAGTGACGCTAGTTCATTTGCAGTGAGATGATTCGACGGTTCCGTCTCCAGTGAACGCTACCTACCTATGTAGTTACCTACCTACCTAGGTAGATAAGCTTCACTCCCGAGGTCTTGAGTTACGGCCGATGTGGCTGATGCCAAAATCATTGCTCAGCATTCTAGGTAAACTGATTCGAGCTATTTGAACGGTTCAGTAGAGTTTCCGCTTGTGAGCCCAACGATCAGAGCTGCGCGTGTGGTTCCCAGATGGTACGAAACCCGAAATCGGTATAGCTTGGTGGCTGACATAAGCCCGGGAGAATCCAGGAACCACCTGAGCACGGATCCGCTCAATCGCGCCGCATGCCAACCGCTCAACTCTCATCATGACGGACGCGGACACCTGTGGCTTCAATTACTGCCTTTGCGGGGAATCGGGCCTTCGGTGCATCGCTTCAGACCCATCTACAGAATAGGCATGTCGGGCAGGGGGCGCAGAGGCGGTCGCAGCGCTAGAGGTGGCAGAGGACGAGGCAGAGGCAAGACGCGAACAGTATGCTACCGCCAAATCGCGAGACAATCGTGAGACAATCGCCACAACCAAACACTACTAAAATGTGCGCAGTGGGAGTGGGAAGCATACACGCCTGGCGCCGAGGTGTACGACCAGTTATGGCGCATTCGCAAGGAGCCTGCCACTGTCACCGCACGACTACCTAACGTCTGCCCTATGTCGAACGCACGAACGCGAATACTCCATCGCCGACAGACCGAGGACCGCTTCAAGCGGGAGCTATACACCGTAGAGGTCACATATACGGGCGGACCGGGGAGTGCACGGGACGGTATTGCCCTTACACAGCTTGAGGATGTGGACCTGCAACGCATACTGCAGTTCGTTTCTCCAGCTGAACTGGAACGATATGAAACTGAGCAGTTCAGGCTCGAGGCAGAGGCAGAGGCCATTGCTATGCGCACCGAGGCCGAAGACCTGGCGCGTCGCCAACTGCGAAAGAATGCCAAAGGGCCAAACGCCAGCAAAGGGAGCCGCATGCTCAGCGCACTCGCCTTCTCTGTAGAGCCGACCCCACGTTCACGGGGTCGACCGAGAGCCACACGCGGAAAATGCAGGGGAAGGGCGAGAGGTGTAGAGCCAACAAGAGGCCTCGTCGTAAGCTCCCGACAGCTCAAGAACGACATGCACGAGCAGCTGGTAGACAGCGAACCTATGGTGTTCGATCGCACAACCGAACACATCGGACAACCCACGCAGACATCGCCCAACACCACACGCTCGGCTTTTGTCGCCAACAGCGCTCTTTCGGTATCACCAATACCCAGGAGAGTATCCATCTCTGTCCCTCGACGGGAACTTTCAGAAGTTTCCGAACCAGAAGATGTGGACTACTTAGCGCTCAGCGACAATGATGCAAAATCTACAAGAGGCGACTTACCATCGCTCGCAATCGAGGTTGGGAATGCGGGCAGCAGTAAAGATCGTCCGTCCTCTAGCCCATCCGGGATCGAGAGCACTCTTCCATGTCAACTTCACCCCATCATACCCGCTTTTTCACCGTCTGCTGATAACGTGCTCCAAGAAGCTCCAACGGCAGCTCCATTTTCCGCGCGAGACTCTGGCTCCCCAGCTCCATTGGATTCCAGGGTGGCGGACGTCCTTCTGCAGACAGCGTCTTCCTCTAATTATTCAGCGCTTGCTGCATCAGACCAAGACGACATAATACCCCCACAACCCGCTTCGCCGCAATTTGAATCGGACGGATACGTCGGCAGCCGAATAACATCTATGCGCACATTGTATCCGGGACAACAGTCGCTCGAACACAACAACGAAGACGATGCAGAAGCGGATGCAACGGAAGAGTTTGCTGTAGAGGCCATCGTGGCGCACTTTCACGAGCACGAGAAGAACTACTACCTCGTCAAGTGGGAGGGATACGAAGACAGCCATGATTGGCTTCCTGAAGAAGACCTTGAGGGCGCTGCAGACCTGGTCACTGAATACAAGGAGCGGATTGGATGGAGGAACAAGAAAGTCGAAATAAGATGACATGATGTAACGAATGGGTTGAATGTAGATATGGGCTTCAATCTCTTAGTTGGTCGTCAGAAGACCAGGCATGTTGCCATGTCCCAATGCCTCATCTGCACCGTATCCATGTGCCTGCATCAGACGTTTCGAATTCCATCCACAGGGCTAGTGTAAAAGAGGGGTGCGTCTCGGACAGACCCGTGTGTTGATCTGCTTACGTATATTGACTTACCTCCCTTGCTTGTTTCAGATCTGATGATGTCGTCGCAGGATAATGTGGTTCGTGGGGCAACAAAGCGAGGTCGTCCCGGTGAACTCGTCAACATTGTAAGTTTGCCAGTAAGTTTGCCACACTGCACACCAACAAGATCGTCCCACCGCGTCATGCTCCTCATCTTCAAGTACTAGTTCCAGGTTCCCATGACGCCCAGGTGAACTCCGAGACGCTCCAAGGATTAGACATGACGCGAATTGATCGCGCCACACTGCAATGGTCCGCTAGAACCTTGCTCCCGAGGTCTGAAGCAGATTGATGATCAAGGCCTTAACAGGCTTCTACGGTAACATAGCAGACTAGGGTGTAAGTTGGAGTATACATTAGATGTAACATATGCAGAACGCGACCGGAGTTCTATAAGCCGCCGGAGCGAGTGCTCATAAGTCAAACACGACACGTGACGCGATGTCTCCAGGGTTCAGCCGAGGTCGTGGCTGAGCTGCGACATGCAACAACACAACACAGCGACCACCGTCACTCTTGTACGCGACACAAGCATGTCGTCTTCTACGCGCTACGCCTACCCCTTTGCCGCCTCTCCCGACATCATTCGCTCGCACCAGAAAGACGCCTACTTCTCCGGCGTGCTTCTCGATCAGCTCTCGACGCTGTTGCGCAAGCTCTATGGCGCGCGCACGTCGCATACGTATGCGTCCGAGACGCGTGTAGCCGGAGAACTCCTTTACCTCGGTCTGACGACGCTGATAGGGAACCGGACCCTGGGCGAGGAATACACAGACATTGTCCAGGTGGAAAGCGAAAGCGGACGCCTGCCGGCGCTGGGCCGCAGAGCTGGATACATACTCGGCTGCATCTTGGGGCCATATGTGCTCGGGAGGGCATTGCCGGCCTTGAGGCGGCGAGTGCGCGCAAAGCTCGAGGCGAATTTGCGGTGGCATGCACGACAACAGGCACAGCAGAGTGGGAGCAAGACACAGATAGGGCGACCGTTGGGCATGCGCGTACAAAACTACCTACTCCGAAACCTCGACACCATTACATCGCCATCACCCGTGTACGCTCTCTCGTTGGCAACGTTTTACTTCTCCGGGAGCTACTACCACCTCTCAAAACGGATATGGGGGCTCCGGTACATCTTCACGCGCCAGGTGACCGAGGGCGACAATCGCGCAGGCTACGAAGTCCTGGGCGTATTGCTAGTCCTACAGATGGCTGTACAGGCTTACCTACACGTGCACAATACTGTCACCTCTTCGACAGCGGCAGTGGGTGGCGGCCACCCGCAAGGCACGTCGGCCATTGTCGGTGGCGGCGCAGAAGTGTCTCTGGATCCCAATGCTTACAGCGCCAACAACGCGCTACTATTCGACGCAGCGTCGGCGGTGCCCATAGCGGCGCCGTCCGACGTGCAAAAGTGGACACAGACACCAGCGTTGGACAAGGCAAGATACGAGCTGGAGGGGGAGGAAACAATGGGATGGATTGGCGGCGGCAATCGGAAATGTACGCTGTGCCTGGAAGAGATGAAGGATCCGAGTGTGACGACGTGTGGTCATGTCTTCTGTTGGACGTGTATCGGGGACTGGGCGCGGGAGAAGCCCGAATGCCCGCTTTGTAGGCAGACGTGTCTAGTGCAGCATGTGCTCCCGCTGAGGGGGTAGGCGGGTGGCGTGTACAATCACAATATCTTCTCGGCCTCATCTATCAGTCGCTCTACCTGGAATGCGCTGTCTCCGCGGGTGAACATGTCGAGAAGCTGGCTGCGGCCCTTGCCCTCTTCCGTCTGCACGTAGAACTTCTGCATGCACATGACGAGCCATCTGGCGTCGTCGACGGATACGCCCCTGTTCTCAGTGACCAAGCCCTGGCCCAGGACCAAGTTGTGGGTCTCGGCGAGCTCGTGGTGGAAGGTGACGGTGGTGTGGGGACTGGCGAACTCGCCCCTGAGCTTGAACTCTGCCAGTGTCGTGAACATGAGCGTGGTGGTATCGACGTGCGGGTGGGAGAACTGGAGATAGTGCAGCTCGGCGGCTTGCTGCGTCTGAGGCGGCTGCTGCGAGGCCGATGGGGCGTCGGCGGGTATCTCGCGGGGGACAGGGAGGACGAACGAGGGGTGCTGTTTGGCGCTGCGAAGGAGCTGGGAGAAGGTGGTGGCGGGGACAGCGAAGTGGATGCTCTGCGGGTTGGCAGCGTGGCGTAGGCGCCACAGGGCCTGGACTTCCTTGCTGGGGAGCGCCTGGACTTTGGCGAGGTCGAGGAACGAGTTGAGCGTCTTGACGCCCGGCGGC